ATGATTGCATTGTTATCACTTCTTTGACTGGGGCTAACTCTGTGTCCTAGGCTGGCTCAAACATGTCTTCCTGCTTTAGCTTCCTGACTGCTGGGATCATAAACACGACCTACCACATTCAGTTTGCATCATCATTTCTTTTTTCTTTTTTTTGATCAGTTGTGGGTCTTGAACTCTGGGCCTGGGCGCTGTCCCTCAGCTCTTCAGCTCAAGGCTGGAGCTCTACCACTTGAGCCACAACACCACTTCCGGTTTTCTGGTGGTTCATTGGAGATAAGAGTCTCACAGACTTTTCTGCCCTGGCTGGCTTTGAACCGTGATCCTCAGATCTCAGCCTTCTGAGTAGCTAGGATTACAAGCATGAGCCATCGGCACCTGGCTACACCATCATTTCTTGAACCTGGTGTTTTTTTCTATCCCAGCTGAGGAGTTCCGGCCATGGGAGGAGCATCCTCAGAGGATGTTGGCATGATGCGCCGCCTTAACCCTACCCAGCCACTTGACTGTCCCTAACCGCAGGGGGCTGAGATAAGGTCTCTTCCTCATAGGCTTAGCTTACTTTAGCTCTGCTGTATTTGGGGAAAAGTTGCTTTTTGTATCTCTTAAACATACTATTGAATCATCTCAACTTTCAGGTTTAGTTTCTTATATGAAACAATATTATTTTTAAAATAAGGTTTTTATTTCTAAAGAACATCTTCATGTTTTTCAGAATGCTTTGCTTCAAATCAGCAAACATTTCCCTTTAAAGCCTCATCTGGGGTGGCCCTGTTGCCCTTGTGGCCTTCAAAGGCACTGGACTTTCAGGACCCCAGCCCCGTGGGGTGGAAGGAAGCAGGTTGGGGTGGGGCATGCTGAGGCTGGGGAGCCACCTGGCAGGAGGCGGTGATGGTGTTGGGGGTGGCGAGAGGAAGAGGAAGGAATGGCCAGGAAGGAAGCAGGAAGCCTGAACAGAAAAGAAAGGACGTCAGCAGGCTGTTCACTGCCATGGAAACTAGCCGGATCGTCCCTCGTATTCTCGGTCTAGAATAAAGGGCGGCATGTGCAGGGTGGAGAATTCTGTGTGTTCAGAGCCTGTCTCAATGTTTCCCCAGCGCTTGCAGAGGACAGCTCGACGAGGAGGCACCCTTATCCTTGGGGACCCCTGGGGATTCTGTGGCTTCCTTGGTGGCGTCTTAGACCCCAGATCCCCCCTCAGAGAGTGGTGTCTGTCAGATCTGGTCACTTGTCTCTGCAGAGGCAGAGGGGGATGGTTGTGTGGCTCAGTGTGCCAAGGGACACCGCATGATGGGAGACGCAGGGCAGCTCCTGAGCAGTTCCCCAGTCCTGCAGCTTGCCCCTGGCACCCTTGCCTTGTGGGAAGGCCTCACCTCACCTCCATGCAATGAAGAGCCAGGAGCTCACAGGAGGAAGCCTGGTCTGCCCTCTGGCTTCTCTTAGGTAGGAGTTGGGTGGTTTTTGTGGTTGTTTTTTTTTGGTGGTACCAGGATTTGATCTCAAGGCCTCAAGTGTTTCCTTGGCTTGCTTGTGCACTCGACTAGACTAGCGTATTACCACCTGCACCATGCCTCCAGATGGATTTTGAGCTGATTATTTTTGAGATGGAGCTCATGGACTTTTCTGCCCACGCTGTCCTTCAACTTCGATCCTCTAGATCTCAGCCTCCTAGTACTAGAATTACAGGTGACTTGATGATGGCACTTTCTATAGGGAAACCTTGGGTTGCAGGGGCACATTGGGCTGCCTGTCTAACACTTCACCTTCCTGGGGTATGTCATGACCCAAGGCTCCACCCAGCACCACCCATGTCTGGCCAGCCTTCTGTGGCCCCCTGTACCCGACCCCCTTCCCCCACTTCCTCCTTTCTAGACAGATTCCCTTTCTCCTGTAGTGCCCTGGCTTCCTGCCTCAGTGGGAGCAGCTGGGCAGTGCCTATGCCACAGCTGAGGAGGAGCTGAGCCAGCTGCCCAGGGTCTTCAGCTGCCCTGGAAAATGAGTGGACACCTTTGACAGCCTCCGGGAGTACCGGGTGTCTGAGAGAATGTCCGGGTTGTTCGCTGCAAGGCTTGGCAGTCCTGAGGATTTCTGCCAAGTCAGAGGAAATGTCCTCTAGAGCCTGAACGAGGTGGCATTGAGGAACTGGGGCACGCACAGGCGTGTGTGTGCACATGTGTGTAGGTCCTGGGCACGTGTCTGGCTGTGTAATGAGTATGTATAGGCCCTTGCTGTCTCTAGGTGGGGCAGACCTTCATTTCTAGGCCAGTGTCCCACCCATGACAGGCAGCTATGAGTCACTGCCGCCCATAGAGGCCTAGTGGAGGCTTTGGCAGCTGAGAAAGAGCTTGCATTGTGTCTGGTGGGGGGGGGGCTGGGGTGGCATGGGGGGCAGAGCTGCTGACACCTAGCAGGGTCCTGCGGACCCAGGTGACCCAGGAAGGCCATTTATCGCTGTATCTGCACAGTGCTCTTTCCATCTTTGTTGTTGGCTCCTAAAGGGATCCCGAGGTGGGAAGTAGAGTCCTGGGGTCCCCAGCCCTGCTGGGTCACGGCAGCTGGGAGAAGTGAGCTCAGGATCTGATGAGATTCTCATGTGTGGTTTTTTAAGTGAATGGGAAATGTGAGGTTGTTAAGGGTTTTTTATTTGTTTGTTTTTGTCCATCGTGGGGCTTGAACTCGGCTTGGGTGCTTTACCTGCACTCTTCAGCTCAAGGCAAGGTCTCTACCGCTTGAGCCACAGCACCACTTCTGATTTTCTAGTGGTTTATTGGAGATAAGAATCTCACAGACTTCCCTGCCTGGGCTGTCTTTGAACTGTGATCCTCAAATCTCAGCCTCCTGAGTAGCTAGGATTACAGGCGTGAGCCACGGGCACCCAGCTGTGTAAAGGTTTTATTCCTTGTCTTAAACAGTACAAGAGTCAGATGCCTTGACCTCAGAGAGTTGAGGTCATGGTGGTTCAGATCTGCTTCTGAGAAGAATCCTGGAAGATAGGAGCCGGAGTGGAGGAGGGACTCAGGTAGTGAGTGACAGAGCCCTCTAATGTGAACTGTGACAGAAATATTCACCTACATAAGGGGAGTTGTTTTACTTTCATTTTGTTCTTTTAAGACACAGTCTCTGCTGCCTGGTGGCCCAAAACCCCAGGCTTGTGAACAGGAGCCTGGCAACTAAGTGGCTTAGAGGAGATAGAGACCTTTGTGTTCAGTCTGCTGGGTTTCACTGAGACCGGCCATCAGACTCACCTGATGATGTTTAAAACTCAGAGGGCTAGATGTAGCTTGGTGGTAGAGTGCCTGCCTACCGTGGGCAAGGCCTCGGATTTGAACCCTAGCTCTGGAGACAACAAGAGCAGTGGAGAATGGCCCAGCTGTGGGGCCTGTGTGACGCTCAGGGATCCTGGAGTACCTGTGCATCAGAAGCCACTGAACCTGGTCTGCCTTTGAGAACAGGCTAGGATCCCGGACTCAGGTGCTTACATGCACATCACCATGCATGTGGATAGAACAGCAGCCCTGCCCACCCCGCTGGGCCACAGGTGATGATTCAGTCTTCTCTTCTATGGTGGCGGAGGTGTGGTCCACCACAGAGCCAGTGAGAAGGGTCAAGCTGGCCTAGGGACTGTGCCCTAACTTGCCACCACACTGTCTTCCCAAGAAAGGCTTCTCTTAGGTGTTCTAGAAGCACAAGGAGTCACGAGGGTACTAGCAGAGTGCATCTGTGTCCAGCTTTCTCCTTGAGAAGACTTTTCCAGTGCTTTCTCGACAGTCTGCTTAGATGGTCAAGTGACCGAGTGGTCACCAGAGCCAGTTGGTCATTCTGTGTGTGGTGACGAGGCACAGCTGAGATTTGAGGCAGCTGCAGTTGGGTCCTGGCTGTATTCCTGGGTGAAGGCTCTTCCTGGGCCTCAGGCTCCCTCTGTTGTGCATGGGTATACATAGGTATCTTATGTGGCTATCTTTGTTTTGGGGGGGGCCTGAACTCTGGGCCTGGGCGCTGTCCTCCAGCTCTTCAGCTCAAGGCTAGCGCTCTACCACTTGAGCCACTTCTGGCTTTTTTCTTTTTGCTTATGTGGTGCTGAGGAATCGAACCCAGGGCCTCAGGCATGCAAGGCAAGCGTTCTACCAATGAGACACACCTTCCCAGCCCCTTACGTGGCTGTCTTATGTGGGCACACAGCCAGGCTGGCAATGGTGGAAGCTGAATGTACCACGAGTCAGTGTGGACACGTCCCTGGCCCCAGCATACAGGCGGGCACCTTGAGTGGTGACTGGTTTCCTTTCACCCCGCAGCCCTGTGACAGAAGTCCCTCCATCTTGCAGAAGCTGAGCTCTCCAGGGGAGGGTCACTTGCCCAGGGCAGGGGGCAGCGCCGCTCACCTTTGCCATTTTGCAGGTCCAGAGGTATGCTGGCTTTCTGTCCAGTGTGCACCCCCACCCTTGCTGTGCCCATTGAAGGCTCCCCTGGGTTTCCAGGCCCGGGGACCTTCTCTGTGGGGTAGACAGATTTGAGTGCCCTACCCTGGTCTGCAGTGGGGTGGACGACTTGAGCACTTCTGTGACTAAGTGTTCCGTCACACCTGCTTTGTGAAGGCGGCTTCTGGGAGGCACTGCCCAGGCGGCACTGCCAAGGGCACGCCTCACCTGGCCCTGGCTGATGTAGGGACGGATGACAGCCATCTCCAGTAGGACCAGCCCTGTTAGGGGAGAGGGGAGTCTGACCCCCGATGCTCCCAGGAAGTGTGTGGCAGGGAGAATCTGCCCCTCACAGTCTCTCGTGCCTGGTCTCCACATATGGCAGGCCAGCCAAATGTGGGTCTTATCTGCGCTTCATGGAGAGCTGATCCCCGCCCCCCAGCCTCACATCCCAGTGAGGCTAGTGGGGGCTCCCTGAGACGTGGTGCTGGTACTTCAGGGGGGTGGACCCCATGGGCTGGGTTCACCCCTACAGTTTTGACCATTCCCAGACATGGGAGCAGTGTCAGTGTGGCATGACACAGCTCCATGTTCTCCACACTGGAAACCCAGTGCATGCAGGCAGTGTGCTGTGGTGTTCCACATGGGAGGCAGCCCTGTGCTGGCCCCCCAGGCTGGCTGGGTGTTTAGCCGCAACCAAAGTCCAGTGCTGATGCCACCTGTCCTCCCCACTCTTTCCTCTAGGTTGGCCTCCGCCAGCTGGACATGTCCTTGCTCTGCCAGCTCTACAGCCTCTACGAGTCGATTCAGGAGTACAAAGGAGCATGCCAGGCGGCTGCCAGCCCGGACTGTGCTTATGCGCTGGAGAACGGCTTCTTCGAGGAGGAGGAAGAGGAGGAGGAGGATTTCCAGGGGCAGAGATCCCTCCAGGAGTGCGGATGCCGAGGCCCACCCCGGGACTTGACACTGCCCATGGCCCCGCTGTCCTGTGGCGACTGGGGTCTGGAGTCCATCTAGGGCCTGGACAGGCTGGGCAGCACTTTTCCCACAAGAAAGCACCACTGCCCCTCCGTGGCCGGCGGCCCTCCATGCAGGGTGTGTGCACCGTCGTCTTGGTGGTGCAGACTGTCCCAACAGCTATGGCTCAGGCTCACCTGCTGTCAGCTTGGTGGAAGGCCTTCGCTGGCATTTGTGCGGTGACTGGCCACAGGTTATTTGTTAAGCTGTGGTTTAGGGTCTCTGCTTCTAATGGGAGGTATGCAAACCACCTCCTTAGCATGCTGTCTAGTCAGTTTTTAGATCCTTTGTTCAGCTTTATTGTAAGCTGCATCATTCATTATCCAGGTGGCCTGCTAAGAGCTTCCTGCTGAAGCGGGCATTTCTGCCAGTCCGACCACTGTTCCCCGACCCTCCCGGTTACTCACTCCGTCCTCAGGGATAGGAGGAGGGGAGGCTGTGTGCAGGGCTGGACTGGGACGAGCAGTGTTTTTATCACTCATGTAGTAAGGTAGCTGTTTGTCTTTAAAGACAGATGTAGACCAGCGTGTCACACTACAGGGCCTCTCCCCTCCCCCAAGTGCTCACTGAAAGCCTTAATGTATATTTATTAACACACCTGACAGGAACGTCACTTTGGATTCAACATGAGGATAAATGTGCTCAGCAGTTACTGTGTTATTAACTCAGAATCTTCAGCTTTCTTAACCTGAACGAAAGTCCACCCCAAGTGGGGGGCAGACCCTTGTCTGCCCAGGCTACCTGCAGCTGACCCTCAGTTTGGCGCACGGGTGGTCAGCGTCATCATGGGAGCGGTGCCAGCTGGGATTCCCTGCCATGTGTCCCCCATGGCCCAGCCATGGCCCAGCCTTCTCCTGCCTGCTTATGTTGTGGCAGGGTGCCCATCACGCCTGGCCATTAACCTCCTCCTCTGACAGGCCAGGATTGATAGAGGCAAGGTACCAAACGCCTTCTCAAAAACAACAGAACAAGCTGGGGTCTGGGGGTGCATACCTGCCATGCTAGCTACTCAGAGGCTGAGATCTGACAATTATGGTTTGAAGCCAGCCCGGCCAGGAAAGTCCATGAGACTCCACTTAACCACCAGAAAGCCAGAAGTGAGCTGTAGTTCAGGTGGTTGAGCACTAACTTTGGGCACAAAAACTCAGGGACAGTGCCCAGGCCCTGAGTTTGAGCCTCAGGACTGGCACAAAAAATGAAACAAACACCACAAAAAATTCCAAATGGATAGGGCTACTGTTATCACATCTTTTTTTTTTTTTTTTTAAATAGCCTTTCTGAGATGTAATTCACCCCATAGGGTATACAAGTTAATGCTTTGGTTTTGGTCAGCTGATGTGAAAGAGCAAGCAGCTTTGTTACTGAGTTAAACAATTTACCAAGTCTGATTCTTTTGAAAGACTTTATTGAGAAAAATGTTTCCACTATTGTAAAAACAAAATATTTAAGAAACTTGAGTTTAAAGGATTCCCCTGGGGTACTCTCTCTCTCAGTGCTGGTGCTGCTGGGGGGGAAAGGGGGTTCTGGATTCTGCTTCACACCACAAGGCCCTCGCTTCCCCTCACTGGTTGGGCGTCTGACGACTGCTCACGTGTGCAGAAGGATCAGCAGCTGGTGACGGGGAGGTCAGGGCGCCTTTTGCCAGTACCACAGCGATGCTTGAGGCAGCAGGATCTGGGGCTGCAGCAGACACGGGCACTGAGCACGGGATACTTCAGTGACGCACCAGCATGGAGCCTGAGACCGTGCGATACAGGACATTGCTCCTAAGTGTTACTAAGTACGGGAGCCTATTGTCCTAACCTTAAGCGACACCTGCCAGCCAGAGGCACTGATGAGAGCAGGAGAAATACCAGGTCTGGCAAGCTGAGGAATGCCACCTGAGGAGGCTCTCTGGATGGACGCAGATGCTGCAGTGCCATCTGGCACAGTGTGTCCCCCAGAGAGTGACCTCTGAAAGGGAAGAGGTGAGCCGAGGAATGGGCTTGGGAGGAAAACCCCAATTATAGTGCAGAAGACCATGAGGGCTGAGCCACACAGTCACTCCAGGGGAGGCTGGGAGAAGTAAGGATCACTGCAGGGGAGGCTGAGGAGAAGTGAGGGTCACTGCAGAGGAGGCTGAGAAGTGAGGGTCACTGCAGAGGAGGCTGGGAGAAGTGAGGGTCACTGCAGAGGAGGCTGGGAGAAGTGAAGAGCACTGCAGGAGAGGCTGAGGAGAAGTGAAGAGCACCATAGGAGAGGCTGAGGAGAAGTGAGGGTCACTGCAAAAGAGGCTGAGAAGTGAGGGTCATTGCAGGGGAGGCTGAGGAGAAGTGAGGGTTACTGCAGGGGAGGCTGAGGAGAAGTGAGGGTCACTGAAGAGGGGGCTGAGGAGAAGTGAGGGTCACTACAGGGGAGGCTGAGGAGAAGTGAGGGTCACTGCAGAGGGGGCTGGGAGAAGTGAGGGTCACTGCAGAGGAGGCTGGGAGAAGTGAGGGTCACTACAGGGGAGGCTGAGGAGAAGTGAGGGTCACTGCAGGGGAGGCTGAGGAGAAGTGAGGGTCACTGCAGGGGAGGCTGAGGAGAAGTGAGGGTCACTGCAGGGGAGGCTGAGGAGAAGTGAGCACTGCAGGGGAGGCTGAGGAGAAGTGAGGAGCACTGCAGAGGAGGCTGGGAGAAGTGAAGAGCACTGCAGGGGGAGCTGGCAGTCAAGGCCCTGTTTTGAGCCAGGCACTGGTGGCTCATGCCTTAATCCTACTCAGGAGGCTCAGATATGAGGATCATGGTTCAAAGCCAGCCTGGGTAAGAAAGTCTATGAGACTCTAATCTCTAATGAACCACCAGAAAACCAGAAGTGGCACTGTGACTCAAGTGTAGAGGGCTCCCCTTGAGCTGAAGAGCTGAGGGACAGCGCCCAGGCCCAGAGTTCAAGACCCACAACTGACAACAAAAAAGGATTCTGTTTAGGGGGAGGTGGTGACACTGAGTTCTATGTCATAGTTGCTTGTCCTTGGAAATGGCAGGACCTGCCCAACCTGCATTAATGAGAGAAACAGAGACCAGCAATTGTGCAGAGAGCTGGAGGCCTGGGGCCTGGAAAGGGTTCCCAGAGGGCTAGAGGACAGAGCTCTGCCCAGCAGAGAAGAGGTGGCAGGGAAGGGCATGTGTCTGAGGAGACACTGGATTGGAGGATGAGCCCTGTGTAAAAGCAGCTTTCCTATGGGATTTTGGACTGCAAACTCAGCAGCTGTGCAAATGTGTATCTTACCCAGAGGAAAACAGCATAGAAGGGGATGAATGAAGCAGGTTCAGCCTGGTGCAGAATAAAACGGGGGTGGGGTGTGTGTGTGTGTGTGCGTGAGCGTGCACAGAGAGAGCCACTGTGGAAGCAATAGCATCTCTGAAGACCCAAAAAGGAAGAGGGTGAAGTGGCAGGGGGCGGGCAGGGGAAGAGCGGGAGGGCACTGCAGGGGGTGGGCAGGGGACAGCAGGAGGGCACTGCAGGGGGCGGGCAGGGGACAGCAGGAGGGCACTGCAGGGGGTGGGCAGAGTAGAGGCGCCACTTCCCCTCCCTGCGTGGGTCCTAGATGAAGTCACTGTTCTTCCCCGTGCCCCCTCACTCCCAGGATCCCGCCTCCCCACAAGGAGGGGAATCCCATGGTCACAGCCTCAGAGATAGCTGAGCACCACAGGAGCTGAGAAGAGGAGAGAACAACATGGAAGACTTGACAAGTTCTGGTGAAGCAAGAGCTCAGGAAATGGCAGATGCTGGACTGGGGCAGGTGAGGCCCACAGCCCTCTGTTGTCGGGTCCTGGAAGAGACTGGCGAGCAGCCAGAGGGTGTGTGCAGGCTCACATGGCACAAAGGACCAATGGCAGAGAGTACGGATCTCAAGGACCGAGGGCAGAGAGTACAGATCGAGGACCAGTGGCTGTCAGGCTCAGGCATGGTTACAGGAGAGGCAGAGCAGGCCAGAAGCAGAGAAAAACTTGAGGTCAAGGGACCGAGGTAAGAGGTAGCAAGAGGCAGGGTGGTGGAGAGAGGAGGAGGGCAGCTGGGCTGGGTGGCAGGCCTTGCCAGTGGACTTCCAAGTGTGAGGTCCCACCATGGCAGGAACGGCTTGCATGGAGATGTCTGATGGTGAGGATAAGACCCAGAAGCAGCCACACGGACTTTTTGCTATGACAAACAGAACTGGAGAACCCCAGGACCCATGTGTGCCAATCCTGGGGGGGAGGGGTGTTGAGGGAGGGATGCAGCCCAGTAGACATGTGGTGTTGCACACCTGTGGTACTGGGGGTCTATGGTGTCAGTGTGCATGGCCCATACCTCAGAGGTCCTGAGACTTATAGATGGCGCAGTCGCTACTGACGTCCCATTCCACTCGCTGGAAGAAGTAGACCATGGCACTCTCCAGCAGGGAGCCACTCAGCACAGCCAGCAGAGAGACCATGCGGTTGATGTTCAAAATCACTGGAATAGAAAGGTATTTGATATGCTCTTAAGAATTTAAATTAGGGGCTGGGGGTTTAGCCCAGCGGAAGGGCACCTGCATGGCGTGCACAAGGCCCTGGGTTCGGTCCTCAGCCCTGGAAAAGAAAAAGCTACAAAAGACCAAAAGAATTTAAATTAGCCAGGGGCCAGTGGCTCAGGCCTGTAACCCTAGCTACTCAGAAAGCTGAGATTTGAGCATCAAGGTTCAAAGTCAGTCCAGGCAGTCAAGCCCTTGAGATTCTCATCTCCAAAGCTGGAAATGGGGCTGTGGCTCAAGTGGTAGAGTGCTAACAAGTTCAGGGACAGCATCTAGGCTCTGAGTTCAAACCCCAGGACAGACACTAAGAGACCCAAAAAAAATTGTTTTAATTAAATGAGCCAAGCGTGGCATAGCTTGTAACCTATCCACTGGGGGCAGAGTTCATTGGACAATGGCGCAAGGCTAGCTTAGGCAAACGAAGTTCCTAAGACTCCATCTCAATCAATGCAAGGCACTGTGGTGTGCACCCTTTGTTCCAGTTATGGAGAAGCCAGGCTGGCCTGGCACAGTGAGACAGGCAAAAAGGGGCTTGAGTGGTAGCATGCCTGCCTGACCCGTCCCAGACCCCAGCACCCACAAACACACAGCCTTGAGCTCAAAATCCAAGTACAAATGAAAGAAGTCATTTAATAAAGTGACCTGTGATGTGTTCATGAAGCTGTTTTGGGGAAATCTGCCCTTGTCCTTATTTATATTTCTTTCTCCTCTGTGTCCATCTGCAACCCTTCTGTGAGTCTCAGACTACACCATCAACACCAGGTTGCTGCCTGAACAGACTCAAAAAAGTTTGAACCAGGGCTGGGAAGGTGGCTCAGTGGTAGAGTGCTTTCCTTGCATGCATTAGGCCCTGGGTTCAATTCCTCAGCACCACATAAGCAGAAAAAGCCAGAAGTGGTACTGTGGTGCTAGCCTTGAGATGAAGAGCCCAGGGACAGTGCCCAGACCCAGAATTCAGGCCCATGACCGGCAAAAAAAAAAAAAAAAAAATTGAACCAATAACAGAAACAGTGGCAGCATTCCACTCTGCATTATGATTCGAAGTACCAGGATGCAGGTTCATTCACCACGGCTTTATGGTACTGGAGGGGCCTCATGAACCCTAGCAGTTCATCTGGAAGAGTACTTTTCATAGTGCACGGGGAAAGTGAAGACACATTTCCGGACAGAGAAGTACTGTCCGGGCATGTAATTCTGACTGAAAACTACCCAGCCTGTTACTCCAGACAAGCCCAAGGTGATCCCACAGCCCCACGGCACCCAGACGATACAGGCAGACACATTCTGGACACAGGAAGTGCTGTGGTCACGTAACAATACCGAAGTGCCTGTGGTGTAAAGCACACTGCAAACACCGGTCATGTTACAGTCCTACAAAGAACCCCAGTGTTTGGCAGGCATAGTGTGTCCGAGCCTCCCTGTAGGCTGGAAGCGGAGCAGGGAGAATACAAGCACACTTGCCTCTGATGGCCTGAGAGTTCGAGGTCAGCACGAACACTTTGATGAGCTTGAGGCACAGTGGTGTGTAGTCGTGCTCCCAGATGACCGCCGGGATCAGCAGCAGCTTCCCATAGCTCGACAGCAGCAGCGCTTTCAGCAGCAGAAAGAAGTTGGGCTTTTTCTTTGCTGTCCTGGGTCGTTCTAGCCACAGGAAAGCAAAAATGCCAATAAAAAAGGCAGTTTGTTCTAGGAGGAAATGAGAAATAAAAATATAGATGTCTCTCTCCAAGCTTATACCCTGACGAAAAGAAAGTTTAAAAGATCAAATAGTCAACTGATTTCATAAGAAATGCTTTAACAACATCAAATTTTCTTTTTCTTCTATTTAAAAAAAGTCATGCCGAGTTTCGGGACCTGGCTCCATCAGAACCTTCATACTTGAATACCTGGGACTATAGATGTGTGCTACTGTGCTTGGCTTAACTTGAAGCAGAGAATTAAGCAAACTAGTAATAAAACGGCCACAGAAATTAATGCAGTTCTGACCAAGCCACAAGTTTAAATTCTGAAGAAGGGCATTTTCTCTTTTCCTTTTTGGAAGTAAACTGGTACTGGGTTTTGAAGTCAGACTTTCGGTTCTGGTTCTTTTTTGCTCATTGCTGGCATTCTATCACTTGATCCATACTAGCCTAGTCCAGCTTTTTTTGGAGACTCAGACTTTTCTGGCTTTGAGCCTCAATCTGCAGAACTCAGTCTCCTGACTAGCCAAGATTATAGGTGTGAGCAACCAGCACCTGGCAGAAAGGCACTTTGTAAATACAAGTTTGGGGAATAGCCAATTTCCCTGTAAGTCATCAGCTATATAAGTTTTTTCCCTTACCTATGTTGAATTAGTATAATGTAATTAGTTCAGTATACTAGCAATCAGTCTGTTTTTACTAGAGATGGAGTTTACCTAATCTTCAGTTGGGTAATTTAGAATTTAACAATTATGACTTAAAAATTTTTGGTGTCAGTCCTGGGGCTTGAACTCAGGGCCTGGGCTTTGTCCCTGGAATGCTGTACCCCTTCACTTCTGGTTTTCTGGTGGTTCATTAGAGAGAAGAGTCTTAAGAACTTTCCTGTGTGGGCTGGCCTAGAACCTTGATCATCAGATCTCCTGATGTAGCTAGGATTACAAGCTTTAAAAATTAGGACTTTTATTGACATTAAGCTTTACAGTGTTTTATGGAACTTTCTACTCTGGTAAGTATAGCTATTTCCATACCAAAAGAAGGCAAGTGTTAGACCAAGTAACCTAGCAGCTTAGTGAACTTTTGGTCTCAAATGCTACATCAGCTAGCTCCTCTAAGCAGTAAGGCCTGTGACTTGGTTTTAATCAGCAGCTAAGTACTGGGAAGCGCGGCATGACCTTACCTAAAGATGCGATGGCGAACATCCTGTAGAAGTCCCACTCCCTGGTGTAGCGGATCAGGTCATCAGGGGCGGTGCTCTGGCTTGAATCCTGCAGCTGCCACCACCTCAGGTATGCTTCACAAAGCAAACAGAACACACAGAGCTTCCCATGGATCTGACGGTCAAAGACGAAGTCAGTCAGAAAAAGCAGTGCTCTGCTGTGTTTATTTTAGCCAGTCCTGGGGCTTGAACTCAGGGCCTGGGTGCTGTCCCTGAGCTTCTTTGGCTCAAGGCTAGTACTCTACCACTTGAGCCATAGCACCACTTCTGGCCTTTTGTTTATGTAGTGCTGAGGAATGGAACCCAAGGCTTCATGCATGCAAGGCAAACACTCTGCCAGTAGCCACATTCCCAGCCCTCCACTGTATTTAGTATCAACAGGCAGAGCTGAAACATTTGGTTTTGAAGAATGTTCTGTGTAGGCAATTTCAATTTCAGCTAAGTGCCTAACTGTATTCCTTCTATCAGGTGTTTTTTTTTTTTTTTTTGGCTGGTTCTGGGGCTTGAACTCAAGGCTTGGGCATTCTTCCTTAGCTTTTTTTTTGTCAAGGCTAATCACTTGAGCCACAGTGCCACTTCTGGCTTTTTTGGTAGTCAGAGCTAAGAATCCCACGGACTTTCCTGTCTGGGCTGGCTTTGAACTGTAATCCTCATATCTCAGTCTCCTGAGTAGCTAGGATTACACGCCTGAGCACCACTGCCCAGCTCTCAATCAGTAGTTTTTCTTTCTTTCTTTGTCAGTTGTGGGGCTTGAACTCAGGACCTGGATGCTGTCCCAGAGCTCTTTTGCTCAAGGCTAGTGCTCTACCACTTTGAGCCACAGCTGCACTTCTGGTTTTTGAGTGGTTAATTGGACATAAGAGGCTCACAGAGACTTTTCTGCCTGGGTTGACTTTGAAACTCAATCCTCAGGTCTCAGTCTTCTCAGTAGTTAGGATGACAGGTGTGAGTCACTGGCACCCGGCTCAATCAGTAGTTTTAAATCAAAATATTCTTCAAAATCATATGAGAGATCTCTCAAATTATATTTAGGCCCCTATTCTGAGTCAGACCTTTGGTAGTAAAACTTTAAAAATGAAGGAATACAAATCAATACATGGAAAGAAAACAATTCAGAGGCAAAAACAAGCTGCAGGTTTCCAAAAGCACGAAGTTTGGGCAAAACAGACAATAGCCGACAAATTGCCTTCACATCTTATGTATTTCCCCTCCCTACAAATTAAGATCTGTCCTTCAATGTGAAGTGGGGATGAGAGTGGAGCCTGCAGGCTGGGAGCTCCTCAGCTGACACACTGGTTCTGTTGTACTTCATACACTACAGCACATAAAGCCCAATAAATGATGTCTTTAAATATTTTTCTTCTGATTGCTTACAGTAGGTCCAATTCTCTCCCACACTGACACATCGTACAGGGAGCCCACTAAAAGCCAGTGGAAATCACAGAAAGCAGCTGCCCTGGCAGAGTCCTCAGCAGCCACCAGCCTGCCCCACTGGGGTAGCTTCCACTGGCTCCCAATCAGGCTGAGAGACCCGCCCTCCACACACGAGCTCTTCTTGTTACTCTTTAGAAATATAAAAAGCATCATCAGAAAAGGCTACCTCACTTACATTTATCTTAGTATTGAAAAGAATGTGCCTGTAGGCCTGGGCTTTGCATAAAATAGCATTAATCAAGATGATGACAGGATCATACTCGATGTATTTGTCTACAGGCTTCTGACAGGATTTCTGGAATAATAAAGGATAACATTAGAATCAACAACTCCAAACTGTGAGATCTGAAATGACTTGAAAGTGTCTGTTTTACACATGTACACCAAAGGTGGATGGGCATACACTGAAGTCAGTTTCCCATGTTTGTCTGTTAGAAGTGGTTTTACAAGACACTAAGCGTCTAGCTGGACCACGCGTATACAAGGTGCTCAAAAGGTATTTCACTTCAAGCTGATTTTTAGGTGGGAAGGCGTCCTGACAGTCCTGCGCATGCGGAATGTTAGCAAGTCTGGCGTGTGCTTTCGCACACTGCCGGCCCCACGACCTCATACTGATCTGGAGTCTGCGTGATGCAGGCTGCCTGCCTGCCCCGCCTCTGGGGTGGCCAGTGGGCACCCCTAAGGGGCACACCACCACGAGCCTGGGGAGCGGGCGTTTTCTGGAGCAGGGTGCTGACCGTGCGCGTGAGGAGCGAGCGCCACGGCCCCAAAGCCAGGCCGGCAAGGGGCTCCCCAGGAGCGGCGGTCTGCAACCTCGCGGGCTTCCCGCAGGGGCAGGAAGCGCAGCCTGGTTGGTGCTGCCCCTCCAGTAGAACTACCGCTGTAGGTCACACAGCCACACTGGGAACCTGGCGGTGCCACAGCGGGAGGGGCCGCGAGCTCCCACCCCGCACCCCACGCTCGGCTGCGGGCCGAGGTGCTGCTGTCACCCGCACCCAGAAGTCCGTGTTCCCCGGCAGAGCGGCTGGGATCGGGAAGGAGGCCCGTCCGCCGGACGCGGGCCAGGCCAGGCCTGCCGCGCCACTCACCGCCCAACCCGCACCCCGAGCGCAGCCCCCGACTAAGATCTTCAGCCCGCGGTGGCTGTGAACCCGGTACAGCCTGCGGTCACCCGCACCCCGCGGTCGCCCCGCACGCACGCAGATGGTGATCTTCAGCACGCCGTGGCTGTAGTCCCGGTACAGCTCGCGGGCCTCCCGGTTGCACTCGATGCAGCGGTAGCAGCTGGGGGCCGAAGCCGGCCCCTCCGCGCCCTTCCCGGGCCGTGGCCCGCAGCGCCCACCGGTTC